AATAGTTTATTTTGCAAATTATTGTTTCTTCAGTAACTTCTATTGAATGATAACAGTATTGTGAGATTTAGGTCTAGTAATATTCACCATTCCTTCTAGATTTTTTTGCTACCAGCTGTGTGATAATTCAAGGCTACTGTTGGCCTATTTTGCTAATTAGTCCTCTTATTTATTCATATATAACATAAATCTTGACAAAGCTTTTTGGTGGGTTTGATCATTTAGTACTGAAACTCTGATAATCCTCATTAATCAAATAGGAAAAATAGTATCTATATCCCTCATTCGGAGTTTGTGCCATGCATTCCATAACTTCGTTGATTATTTTTAACCCAAAATATTATCTTAGAATGGAACTATTATATGATTTTGTTTATGGATTCCAAATTTCCCTTGGAAACGTGTTCAGATACCATGTGAGCAGCCACTTTCCTAAATGTGTAGGAGCCACGCGCATAAACAAAATTAGATATTTTCTAAAAGATTTAGTCAGCCATTATCTATATAGAACTTATCTTTTTCCATGTTAGTGTTAAATTCACGACGCATATCTAAAAGTCGGAATATAACTTTTAAATTTCTTGTGTGTATTTTAAAGTCACCATATAGTATTTCTGCTATGCTTGTTGCATAGAATGTTAGTTTGTTAGAGAAATGTTAAAAACTTTTATTTCATTTTTTCCCCCGCATGTCAGAAAAAGTGACTTTGGGTTTAGAATCATACCATATTGAGTTTTTTTTTTATATTCACAAGATTTAACTTTGTGGTTTTAACAAATAATTTACAAAGACGAGGGTGTGAAAACAACTTCTCCTATAAATAAACTATTAACTAAACACCAAAAGATGTTTATTTCTTTTATGCTACTTCTGTATGCTCTGATGCTAGAACTCTATGTGCAGAATGGCTTATTGGCTGAAAACAAATTATCCATTGATTTGCAGGACTTGCCCAATTTGGTTGCCGTAAAAGATGCAGATTTTTCTGATGTAGATGCTGTGTTTTGTTGTTTGCCACATGGAACTACACAGGTTTTTCTATATTCTCTTTAAATTTCTCAACTAACAATCTCATGGAAGTATACGTGATATAGGATCATAAGGATGTTGCCAACTCGCATTGTATAAAGGGTTTCAGCAGGTTTCACTGGTTTCAATGGTTTTGTTTGAGTTTTGATTCCCATGTATAGAAACATGTATGCTAAACACTAGATATCTTTGTCACCTTTGTCTTTTTTGTTTTTTGTTTTTCCATGTGCTGTGGCTGAAGAGCATGTAGTATGAAGGTGTATGCTAAGCGAGTGTTAACTAAAGAGATCCAAACTTTCAGCGGTCAACCAGATAACTCAAAAGAGTTCCAAATTAGTATCAATATCGTTAATTAGGTTTTTTTTTATTTTGATAGACTAAAATTTATTGATTATGTTGAATTAAGATTGTAATAAAGGTTAAAAAAATTATGCTAGGATTTACTGATTTGGGATGGTTATAGAAGTTGAAGGGAGATGAAATTATTATCAACTAGGAAATATTTTTGCTTCTTTCCCCCTTTAATTTTTGAAATCTTGAACGAAACTAGTCGAAAATTAAACCTAAACCAATTAAACAATTGTATATTAGCCACAACTTAGCCAGCAGAACTATAAATCCGGTTTCAGACTGGTCTCTACCAAAAGTGAAACCACAAAATCCTTATTCCTTGATCCTAATTTTTTTTAATCACCGGGGTTGAGTCTATTGTTTTTTCGTGCAGGAAATCATTAAAGGTTTGCCTAAGGAACTCAAGATTGTTGATCTCTCTGCAGTATGATCCTGGTGCACCTTTTTTGTACTTCTCTGAATATTGGAATCTTAAATGGATCACTATGTGCCATCTCTAGAGTGTACGAAAAGTACTAACAAATCCGCTTTGCAGGACTTTCGACTCCGTAACATTGATGAGTATGAGAAATGGTATAAACAGCCTCATAAAGCACCAGAGTTGCAGGTAATTCAGTCTGTTCTTTTGGATGGCATGGTTCACTGTATTTTTTATGCTTCAAATTGTTTGGTTTGTGTATTCTCTTGAAAATGGTACTTGATCTCTATAAAGCTTGGGGTAGTTTGGTTCCTGGTTGCAGTATTTTAATTACTACTGTATAAAGAGAAATTGCTGGTTATTTATTGGTAATTGTTGCTTTAAGGGCTTCATGGGCATACTCTGTCTAGGTGGGATTCAAGTGCAGGTTACATGAAAGCAAACTGATTTCACTATTGTGCTACAACATAACTCATTATTGTTTGACGCAAATTAAAATGAACCACTGTGAGTTTGTGACACCTTTTTTAGTTTATTGAATTTATTCCTATACTAGAATATGTAAAACAAACTAGAGGCGATTTTTTCTTCCTATGATATAGGATTGTATGCCACAAATTTCAATCACTGCATCCTGGATAAAAGAAAAACCCACACCACCACCACCAATTAAGATGGAGTAAGGAGTGTATGTTTTTGTGTGAAAGTATGAAATTTGTGTGGGTAAATGTATTGAATATTAATCGAGCTTCTGGAGTGTTGAATAACATATAATATCTGGGTTCACGGCTCATAAAATGCAAACTTGTGGTGGAATATGATAACTACACTTTGTTGAATTTATTACTGTGCAGTCAACCCCTTGGGTGTATGGGTGGACAGGCAGGCGGGTGTTGTTGGTGTTTTGTGTGTGCTTGCACACAAACATTTAACAGGGTGTGAAACATGGCAGTAAAGTTGATAGTTTTGATTTTTTTATAAGACATCGTACAAAATTTAGCCTACAGAAAAATAGTAGTAAATTGTAAGTAAACATAATTTAGTTTCTCTATGACTAGACTAGAGACGCTATGAGGAAAATTGAGACAGACTTTCGCAAATCGCTTAAAATTTTTACAATGAAGGCTTTTTGTTATTGGTCTGTTTAGTTACAACTTACAAATAACCTTTTTTTCATTACAATGGTAAAGATAACAGTTCCTTTATTTTTGGAGTTTTGATATTGCCAAGTAATACCTAAAGCTTTTCTTCCACTATAGCTGCGCATTTCGTTAAGGTAATATTAGTTAGATGGATGTAAAATGCAGCGACCTTGCAATATAACAGTATTAGTCATGGTTTACTCAATATAATCTATTTTTGTGACAGCTACTTTTGCATTTTTTAAGTTTTCCCCTAGTTAATGGCTAATCACAAAGATGCTACTAATTGTCATTTTCCTGCACTCAGAAAGAAGCGGTATATGGTTTAACAGAAATTTCAAGAGAAGAAATCCGAAACGCACGTCTAATTGCAAATCCTGGTTGCTATCCAACATCCATCCAACTTCCTCTTGTTCCTTTAATAAAGGTTAGATCTTCATGACATATCATTTATACAAGGAATAATCATAATCATATCATTATATGGGTGAAGACTTTCCACTTGTTTCAGTTTGACTGAACTTCATGAATGGTACTTTAAACAAGAATACTATACATGAAAGTTGAATTTTTTAGACCACGAAAATGATTGATTGTAACTTGCGTATTATATGTTTCATCTAAACCATGTATTTCATTTAAATCATGTATTTTCTAATAGTTATGTTTTGTTGTGAATCTAGCTTGCCATTTTTTGTCTATACCTCTGTATTTCATCCTCCATCTTCTCAATTCATTTTACATTATGGTGATATTCTGATGGTCCATATACAAGCAAAAATGTAATGAATAAACAGAATAGTTGCCTTGAGCCTCGAAATATCTTAGAAAATTATCAGATATTATCAGACATCTCTTTCTTCTTCTTTTTCCAGAAAGGATTTACTTCTTGTTCATGCGCTCATCCATGTTTTTGCACGTTATTTGTATTACGTTTCATCCTTGTTGCAATTATATACATTTTTTTTTCCTTTTGAACCTCAAAAGCTCAACGGAATCAAACCTCCTGTGTGAGCTCCATATATTGTTTTTTTTCCATCAACGTGTTCCCACCTGATTGAGTTCTCTACTGTTTATTTTCCAGTTTCTGATTCAGAAAAATATAACTACATAATGTCCTTCATAAACTAAATTGTTTTTTTGTCTCAAGGGAGTGAGTTGATCAGAATAAGTTAACCACACCCCCTCCCTCAAATCTCAATTAAACTTGCATTTTATTTTATTCAAAACTATGTTTCTGAACACTTCTTTATGTACAGGGTAACCTGATAGAACTAAGAAATATCATTATTGATGCCAAATCCGGTATCAGTGGTGCAGGTTTGAATATATCGTTCCTGTCATTTAGTGTGCCACACCGTCTATAAAACATATCAGTTTTACATTGAAGGTTGCAGTTATCTTGTGAGTTGATGGGGTTTGTACTTTACATCATGCAGGGAGAGGAGCCAACGAAGCAAACCTCTACACTGAAATTTCTGAAGGGATTCATTCTTATGGCATTACCAGTCACCGACATGGTACTTTCTACTTTTCTTTATTATTTGGAAGTAGAAAAAATTACATGATCTAAACTGCCGCTATTGATATTCAGAGTATAGAAGGCATTCTGTTAAATGGAACTATCAGGCATCATTTTCAGGCTTATCCCTTTCATATAACTTTCTTAATTTTTTTTCTCCTTCCCTCCCTTTTCCCATTGATATCTGTTTGAAGATGAAAAAAATTCTTATTTTATTAATTATTTTCTGTTTACTGGGATGCTTATTTAGAATGAAAGATGTAAAGTCTCTGAGTTCACTGAATATGTTTACTGGGATGCAAATGGAGCATGAGTATTTTATGAATTGCTAGTATTGAGAGATTCACTTTATCAACGTGTATTAATTTTTCAATAGTGTATCTTAAAAGTTCACATTATAAGATAGACAAGATTAACCTATGCTGGTCTGTAGTGGTAGATAATTGCGTTGGTATTAATTCATACATAATTTAAGGGATCACATCTTTAAGGCACAAATCAGATGTGTACAAATTGTGGCAGAAAGAACATAAGTGTGCAAATGCCAACAACCTTTATATGTGGAAGCAAATTAAAGGTGCTTATATCGATCATTTGTTTTGATGTGCTGGTAGTATTTGCATATTGCTTTGATTCGTGGCAGAGAGATACCTCCGTCCCTGTGCATGACTAAGTAGGCATTCAGTAATCGAAGTAATAGAAGGTTTAATAGCTTTAGTAGCTTGTGCTTACTTGTTATCATGTAAAAATGCAAATTAATGCTGTTGTAGGTGTAGGAAATTAAAGTTATAGTCAGCTAATGACCAGAATTTGTCTTCAAAATAAAGAGAGGAGAAAATATTGATGGAATTGAACTTTAATTATGTTTTATTCTTTTAGTTGGAACTAATACACCATACGTGCTTTGCACGTGATGCATGTTACAGCTATTCATGTAGAAAAGAGTTACATATAAACGGATATTGTTAAATTAATTTACATTAAATTTATAGTTATAAACAATAAGTTTAGGGGAGTTACCTCTAAATGGTAAACTTTAGGGGATTTGCCCTAATATAAAAATATCTAATAAAAATTGCTACAAATATAAGTTGACTTTCAAGGGGATAGAATATCCTTATGGTTCAAACTCTGCACTTTTACCTAGTGGTTCCCTTTTGATTATAAATATAAGGATAATTTAAGAATTAATTGTGAATATACCCTGTGTACTATCACCCAATTGTGGATAGACTCTTTCTAATTCTGTTTGTGCGGATAGACCCCCTTAGTAAACTTTTTTGACTAAATTAAGAAAATTAGCAAATTGGGGGTCTATCCTCACTAAAATAACTGGGGGGGGGTGGTATTATTACTCCTCAAACATTTATTAACTTTTTTAAGAATACAAAGAAATTCACTGAAGGGATCTATCCTCACAAATAGAACTGTAGGGGCTCTATTCCCCATAAGGGCGATAGTACAAGGGGTGTATCCGCAATTAGCCTTATTTTTTATGTTATATAATTTCATATATGGTTAAATTAAGTAAATTATCATTTTTAATTAACCATTCACGTCTTATGATCAAACCTCCCATTAGCTCTTCATCTTTTAAAATAATATGGAAGTCCATCTTTTTATATATTTTTTCTAGATGTTATGCTTTAATACTCAGTTACAAATCCAACTCTGACACAAATAGTATCAATAAAGTATGAATATCATAATAATTAGATTTGAACTCATAACATAATTTCATGGGAACCCAGAATACCTCATTAGATAACTAAAATATTAGTTAGTGCTTAAAAACATAATCTCATGTAAACCGAGTAGTCATTGGAGCCAACATAAAATTTAATGCGTATAGTTATTGGGAATTTTAAAATTGAGAGGGGCAAAATAGGCAATCAAAAGTTTTGATGTGGCAATCCTCTTATATAAGTAGTGTAGGTTTGTATTAATATTATTAAAATTGTGAACAATTAGTTCTACTTGGAGAGGTTCATATTAGTATATTACATTAACTTGTCTGACATCTAAAACGGGATGATACACATTGATAAGAAGTCCATGTCGGGAAATTATGTAATGGGAGAGTGAGTTGATGAAAATTCTCCCATTCGGCTTTTAGTTTCTGTAAAGTTTGTAACATTTTTCTGTAGAAATACCTTATTAGATACTATAGATGTCAGTACTATGAAGCTGTGGAGTATTTGGAAACACAAAGGTGAACTTCTATTCATTCTTCCATTTTAGTTCCTCAGGTCAAACTTATTCCTTTTATAATTTTCAGTGCCTGAAATTGAACAAGGGCTCGCAGACGCTTCACATTCTAAAGTAACTGTCAGCTTCACTCCTCATCTAATGCCTATGGTAAAACATTTCGCCGATAGCTCATTTATGCTAGTGATCTCAATTAAATCTTTATTATAATCTCCTTGGTGGAGTTATGCTTCACTAGTTTGTGACTTGTTCTATGTATATCTTTTTGTGTTATAGAACCGTGGCATGCAGTCAACCATTTATGTGGAAATGTCACCTGGGGTAACTGTTGATGATCTGTACCAACAACTGAAGAATGCTTATGAGGTAAGCGTGGACATTGTATGTTGGAATTCGTGTTCCAATTTTCTCTTTGGAAGTTCTCTTTCCATATTAGTCATACTATGACAGAAGGATTTATTTATTACATGTGTTTTATGGACAAAAAAGCACATGCAATATGTTAGATTCTTATGCATGTTTTCTACTCTAATTATAAGGGCTATGTGCGGATATACCCCCTGTACTATTTGCCCTATTGCTAACTATGAAGCACGGACACACATAACATAAAGCCGTGTCGTGTCGTGTCGTGTCTGTGTCGGACACACGTGTCGAACACACGTATCCTATGTATTTTTTAGGATTTGCCTCGTGTCGGCGTGTCGGATGGCCGTGTCGGATCCGTGTCCGTGCTACATAGATTGCTAATAGACGACCCCTTCAGTGATTTGTTCCCTCTTTTACCCTAAAAAAATTTTACTCTCTGAGGGTAAAAGAGTAAAAAAATGTTCACTCGGGTTGGTGGGGGTCTATTTGCAACAATTAGACTACAGAGGGTCTATTTGCAACAATAGAACTATAGAGGGTTTATCTGCAATTGGGCAGTAGTACAATGGGTCAATCTGCAATTAACCCTATTTTTAAAGGAGTTTAGCTAACTTTAAACCTTTGTTGAAACGTTCTAGAAATCCACGAATGTTCTGGTTCACTCTTCGTTATCTTTTCCTTGATCGTGCTCTACTATTCTCTGGTTACCTGAAACATGAAGACATGATGTGAGCTCAACGATTTCTAGCTTAAAACTTTGTTTCTCCCTCGTATCTAATATCTTATTTGGGACTCAAAAACTGATTGCTTCATGCAATATGATCCATTTGCTAATTACTTGTCATGGATAATTATATCATATTTTTATTTTCAGGGTGAAGAACTTGTTGAATAAAGGAGACATTCCCCACACCAACCATGTTATAAACTTATAATTATATTATATTTTTATTTTCAGGGTGAAGAATTTGTAAAATTGTTGAATAAGGGAGACATTCCCCACACCAATCATGTTAAGGGTTCAAACTACTGTTTGATGAATGTCTTTCAGGATCGAATTCCAGGGAGAGCAATAATAATCTCCGTGGTAAATTTTCTCCAATCTCATCCAGTGCCTTAAAAATTTCACCCAGAAATGTTTCGAGATAGTTTTGATAATGAGTGATTCTTTTTGTGCAGATTGATAATTTGGTGAAAGGAGCTTCTGGTCAAGCCATTCAAAACCTTAATTTAATGCTTGGCTATCCAGAGAACTCGGGGCTTCATTGTCTACCATTATTTCCTTAGATTAAAGAGCCGGCATTGATTCTAAGTGATAACGCGTGATGTAGTTTGCAGGAAGAATAAGCGTTGTCACGCTATACTTTTTGATTTACAGCCGCGAAGAAGAGGGGTGTGCTGTGTGTGTTTTGGGGGCGGGCGGGGGGGGGTGGGCGGGGGTCAATACTACTGTGCCAGCTGAACTGAGATTTTATTTTGAACCTTTGTGTTAGCCTTTACATTGCGGAATGGTATGGTAGATAAATATGGTTGTTGGAGAATTGTCTTTTGAAATGTGCATTCTGAGAAGCATTGGGGTATGTCATTGTGCAATTTAAGGTTATCAACGTAAATAATTTATCTGCTGTCCTTGTCCTTAATTATCGACAACCTTAAAGAAGTTCTACAACTTATCGTCCAGTACTTTGCTGGGGCAAGTTGTAAAAAATGTTAGCCGCTCTCAGCCTCTAATTATCATCCAATGAAAGTAGTAAATGAGTTGTATTGCTTCTATGTTTTATTTATCCTGGATGATTACAGTATCGTTTTTACCCCTAGCGTACTTGGGTTCTTAACAGCTCATTTAGTACAATGAGTTATGTATGACATCTAC